AATGTTGAAGGCAAGTCAAATGCTCCTGATGAGCCTGCACCATCTACCACCGAGCAGCCATCTGCTCCTCAAAATTCTTCCTCAGATGCTGAAATGAATGATGAATCTCGTATTACATCATCAGAAGTTGATGAACAGTCTAAACCTTCATCATCCACTGAAAAAGAAAATGATGCCCATAGTATTCTACTTAACCTCCCACGAGCAGAGCTCCAACTTCTGTGTTCATTACTTGCACGAGAAGGGTAATACTTATAAAGTAGTATCTCTAGTGTTATGCAACACATTTATATGGCATCATTCTACTTCATTTATATGGCAATGAAATATTTTTGAGTATAATACATTCAATAGTTGTGATCTCACACTCACACACACACACACACGTATATATATATATATATATATATATATATGCATGCTTCTATTTCAATGTATGATGTAAGATTGCTTGTTTGTTTAGGAAAAAAAAGTATTTTCTACAACTTATTAGTTTCATATGATGAGGTTTTACACTGCGTAGGAATGGTTGAGCTACTCTTATGCTATTTTTTGATGTGTTGATATGTTTAGGGTTCTCACTATCTTGTTATTCTGACTTGTTGACAATATCTTACTTCTCTCAGCCTGTCAGACAATGCATATACTTTGGTAGCAGAGGTACTGAAAAAGCTGGTGGCTATTGTCCCTGTGCATTGCCATTTATTTACTGCTGAACTGGCTAGCTCGATTCAAATTCTGACCAAGTCTGCAATGGATGAGTTACGCAACTTTGCTGAAGTAGAGAAAGCACTATTCAGTACTAGTTCCACTGATGGGGCTGCAATTCTCAGGGTTCTCCAAGCATTGACCTCTCTTGTTCCATCACTTGGTGAAAAGGGCAAGGATCGTCAAGTTCCTGCTGGGACAGAGCATGCTGCTGACATTTCCTTGGTTTCGGATATCAATACTGCTTTGGAGCCTCTTTGGCTTGAGCTCAGCACTTGCATAAGCAAAATAGAAAGCTTCTCTGATACATCAGCTGACGTGTCACGATCTTCAATTGTTTCCACATCTAAGTCTTCTGGTGTTATGCCTCCACTTCCTGCCGGTACTCAGAATATCTTACCTTACATTGAGTCCTTTTTTGTGATGTGTGAGAAGTTGCAACCTGGACAATCAGGCGCAGGAGGTGATTTTGGTATTGCTGTTTCTGATGTTGAAGATGCCATTGCTTCTGCTTCCCAGCAGAAATCTTTAGGACTTGCAATCAAGTTTGATGAAAAAAATGTTGCTTTTGTGAAGTTTGCTGAAAAGCACAGGAAACTTCTGAATGCTTTTGTTCGCCAAAACCCTGGATTACTTGAGAAGTCTTTCTCAATTATGCTCAAGGTTCCTCGCTTTGTTGATTTTGACAATAAAAGATCTCATTTTAGATCTAAGATTAAACATCAGCATGATCATCACCATAGTCCCTTGAGAATTTCTGTGAGACGTGCATATATTCTTGAAGATTCATATAATCAGTTGCGCATGAGGTCAACTCAAGAACTTAAAGGGAGGTTGACTGTTCATTTCCAAGGGGAAGAAGGAATTGATGCCGGTGGACTTACCAGGGAATGGTACCAGTTGCTGTCCAGGGTAATTTTTGACAAAGGAGCATTATTATTTACCACAGTTGGCAATGAATCTACATTTCAGCCAAATCCCAACTCTGTTTACCAAACTGAGCATCTCTCATACTTCAAATTTGTGGGGAGAGTTGTGAGTACCTTCTATCTTGTTCTTGACATTGGATGTTCTGTAATCTATTATCTATCTATATTCCTAATATGTCTATGGTATGTATCCAGGTTGGGAAGGCACTTTTTGATGGTCAACTTTTGGATGTTCATTTCACAAGGTCCTTCTACAAGCATATTCTTGGGTCTAAAGTGACGTATCATGATATTGAAGCCATTGATCCTGATTACTTTAAAAATTTGAAATGGCTGCTTGAGGTTTGCTATATTCTGGCCTTTTTTTTCGGCATCTTCTCATTTTGCATTGTTTTGCCAATGCTCATGACTAATTCATTTTTTTTTTTTTAAATAAAATCTGTAGAATGACATAAGTGATGTTTTGGACCTTACATTCAGCATCGATGCTGATGAAGAGAAGCTGATACTTTATGAACGCAATGAGGTATGAAAACTGAAGTTGTTATTTGTTGTGTGTTTAATGTTCCTCCCTACCATTTTTCTTGTCTAAAAATTCTAAGATTTCATTTACTTGATATAGGTTACTGATTATGAACTTATTCCTGGTGGTCGAAACATTCGAGTTACTGAGGAAAATAAGCACCAATATGTTGACTTGGTTGCGGAACACCGCTTGACAACTGCCATCCGTCCTCAGATAAATGCATTCTTGGAAGGGTTCACTGAATTAATACCACGTGAACTGATATCAATCTTTAATGATAAGGAATTGGAACTATTGATAAGTGGCCTGCCTGATATTGATTGTAAGTAAATTTGTCTATTTTGTTACACTAAATAAAACCTCTTTTTAACTGGTTAACCATGTATGTGAGGTAATGTATTTTCATAATGGTATTCAGTGGACGACATGAGAGCAAATACGGAGTACTCTGGGTATAGTACCGCATCCCCTGTTATACAATGGTTTTGGGAGGTTGTTCAGGGTTTCAGCAAGGAAGATAAGGCTCGGTTGCTACAGTTTGTGACTGGTACCTCTAAGGTACATTTTACGGCTTTGTGTTATATTTTTCCACATTAGTATATGCCCTTGAATATCAGTTGATTGAATTTAACTACCATTTCAGGTTCCCCTAGAAGGTTTTAGTGCTCTGCAAGGTATATCTGGCTCCCAGAAGTTTCAGATCCACAAGGCATATGGTAGCGCCAATCACTTGCCTTCGGCACATACATGGTAATCATTGTTTCTGTATCTAAACAACTGTAGTTTGATTTGTTTTGGTGGGGATTCCTAATATGATTGTGTGATGCATGGATGCAGTTTCAACCAGTTGGATCTGCCGGAGTATCCTTCTAAGCAGCATCTAGAGGAGAGGCTACTGCTGGCTATTCATGAAGCCAATGAAGGTTTTGGATTCGGTTAAGGGAGGGCATAGTTGGGGAGAAGAGTGTAGATATAATCTTTATGCTAAAACTTGTTCGTTTACAGAAATGTTGCCGAAGGGCATTTCTATATCTTTGATATGCTTGTCTATATACTTACTGTACAGATTATATTTTTTTATGACAAGTGTTTTTGGGCAGTTTTTGTTTTGCCAATTCATATGATCATATCCCCCCGGGGAAGTTTGTTGGTATGGGGGTTGGTGACTAACAGCTTCAATGCCTCTTTTGCTATCACTCAACTCTACCAAGCCAAATTGATCTTGACCTGATTGCTTTAAACGAAGCACTGTTATGTCTCCTCCTGGCTAAAACTTCAAGAAGCTATTGCGGGTAAAGAGCCAGAAGGACGGAACTCTTCTGAAAATGCCAGTTGGACTAAAACAATTACTCCCTTCGTCACATTTTATGTGTGGTTAATGAGGTTTGATTTAAGTTATTTTTAATTTAATTTTTCATAATATTAAGCTCAGAAGTATACAACATTTATATATTTAGAAACTACTCAACTATTAAATACAAAAAGTTAAATTTGAAAATAAGTAAAAAATATTAAAAAAAATAAATAAACAAGAAAGAGTTGGTTTGATCAATGAATATGAATAATAAGTATGACAGATAAAGTGAGACAGAGAATCTTAGATAAAATATGATTTATACAACAATTGGTATATTTATAGATTGACATGGCACAACTTGCATTCGAGCAAACCCCAATGAGAGGTTTTTACCAACTTTTGAAACAGTGAAAAATTTATATCTTGGATTTTAACAAATGTGGAAAGTAATATTTTCTTGAATTGAAAAACAAGCAGTTTATTTATTTATTTTATTTATTTATTTTTTTAATTAAGAGCTCAAGACGTGCAAGTGTGTCTCATAATTAGGGATGACAATTTGTCCCATCTCCGATTCCCACCCTTGGCTTGATCTGAAAAAAAATTTTGACAAACGGGAACAGGGATAGGGAATATATGTAATTCCCCGTCAGGGACGGGGACTAATTACCCCTTCTCGCCCCACCCCGTCCCTGTAAAATTATTATATATATATATATATATATATATATATATATATATATATATATATATATATATGTTTTAAATTAAAATTTAAGATTTTATATTTTAAAATTAAAAATTACACTGATTTAAAATTTTGATTAAAAGTAGACCGAGATCTGGGATTCTCCGTCCCAGCCAAATTTGCCGGGGACAGGGACAGGAGTATACTCCTCGCCCCCGCCCCGTTGCCATCCCTATTCACAATACACGTGCTTGTTTGGACGATTGAGAGTGATTGCCAACTCTCAATTAAAGGCCATTTGGCCGTTGCTAGCAATGACTAAATTTCAATCGGGCAACGGTCATATTTCGACTGGGCAACGACAATTTTTTTTATAATATAAATTATTTATTATTATTTTTATTTATAATTACTATTTATCTCTACAATTTTTTCGTGTTTTCATTCTACTCTCAATTCATTCATATTCTAGCACGAATTTGGTTGAGCATATGTGAAGTAACAACGGCAATTAATTTAAATATTTGTATTTTAGTTTTTTTTTTTAACCGCATTGTATTTTAGTTTTTAAGTAATTGGATTTAATTTTTAAGCAATTAGTAGTTTAATTTTAATTTTATAATTATATCATTTTAATTAAAATGCCGTAGGTATGTTTGTTTATTTTAATTAATTTTTATTAAATTATAAATTTATAATTCAAATAAATAAAAATAATAATTAAAATATAGGATAGTAAAATTGTGATCTACAAAAATTAAGAAAAAATCTAAAATTAATGGAAAAAAAGAAGTTTTGTGAAGTGGATAATGAGATCACAAAAACAAGAGAAAAAATCTTAACTATTGAGGATACTCTTAGAACATCACTACACTATTTCGACTATAGGTTGTGGCAAAAAACAGCCAATAATATTTACTACATGGTAAAGTTGAGTGGCTACACGTTAACATGTCTTTCTTTAGATACAAGAGAAAGACAAGTACAAAGCAAAAAGACTAAACAAATCTATGCCTGACAAATTGGGTTTAACCTGTTTTCAAATTTCAAAACCCACAATCAAATAGAGTTCATGATCTATAATACCATTTCCCCTGGGCATCATCTTCAATCATTTTCTTGAGGCATCTGGGAAAACCAACTGGCAATAGTACAACGTCATCTCTTCCCTTCACCTCCATCTTTGATAAATAGTCAGCTGCTTTGTTACTCTCTCTATACGAATGACTCACTCGGTACTTCTCGAATGTCTTCAGTGTTTCCCAAATACACTCTAGGCAGCCGCTCGCCATTGGGGCGTACAACGGTTGTTCTCGGTTGATGCTTTTCACCGCGCTCATCGAGTCCGACTCCACCCATATAAACTTAATCCCCATAGTCGAGGCAAGCCGGAGGCCTCTCCATATGCCCCATAGTTCGACCATGAATGAATCGCCCCGTGGAGCTTTACAAACATAAGCGCATATAGGCGCACCATTGTGGTCACGCAACAACCCACCAAACCCCGCGTGTTCCTTGTCTACAGACCCATCCGTGTTCAACTTGATCCATCCACAATCGGGCTTTTTCCAACTGCATAACTTAACGGGTCGGTTAAATAAGCCTGTCAATTGTATCGACTTGAAACTCTCGAGTAAACCCGTGACACGATAATCTGCATTTAGTTTTGATAGGCTCTGGACTTCTTTTAACGAGACTGCTTCGTTTTCTTTGAATTCCTTTTCCTTGAGCTTGTGCTTCCTACCTTGGATGTGGTCCCTCAAGTTTTTCTCACGGCTCGTGCTCACTAGACAGAGGGGACAGCTCCACTCCTTTTGAACATTCTTCAAATTGGCTGGCTGGTAATAAGTCTGGTCAAAACAGACCCAAAATCGGGGAATAAAACGGGCAACAATAAGTTGGATTTAGGACATATGACGATAGGAAGTACTGAAGTACGGAGTAGCATATTGGCAAGAAAATGAAATATCAATCATTGACTTCATAAGGTGCAACTGTTCTATCTGTTGAGCATATAGCCATTAATGTGCAATCCAACTATCAGCTTAGGCTTTTAGTTGAGATGGAGCACATGCTTCAATTTGGTATCAGAGCCCACGTGAGGGGGGCTTAGGCTAAGCTTTTAGTTGAGATGGAGCACATGCTTCAATTCTATCTCCTTATCTTTATAATTTCATGGAGACACGGAAAAAAAAGAAGCTCGAAATGCTCAACGTTTACCTCACGAATCACCGATCTTGCTGATACTTCCTCTCTATATTCTCGAGCTGATCTCACTAATTCATTAGTAGCAATCAGTTGCTTTTTACTAAGTACTTTCTGTGGTAAGCTGTGCTGGTTTGAAGTCAGATCAGATTCACCCTGAACCCAGAAAGAAATATATGTTCAGAATAAATGATCAAACAAGCCAATTGCACAGTAAAATTATTATCAACTCCATAAAAATCAATAAACACAAAAAGCTCGCTTTCAAATATAATAGAGATTCCCACCACACTCGACGAAAGCACCAGATGATATGGCACTCAAGCCAAGATCCTAACTCGACGAAAGCACCAGATGATATGGCACTCAAGCCAAGATCCTAACTCCACCACACAAGTTAGCTCATGAGTGGTGATTTTGCCCTAGCTTAAGTAACATCCTCGTTTCATTATCATAGACTCGAATCTTTATATACTTACCTTGAAAGTAACAAAATTCTCACGTACTTCCTCATATTGAATTTCCTTTATACTGGATTTCTGCTCCAAAGTATGATAAGATTCAATCTGAAACAAAGGAAAAATACTCAATACTATAATCAAGACCTAAGTAAGCCTAGTTGCGGGGTAATATTATTATCTTGAGTTCGTAAATTCAACAGAACATCAACCTCTTGAATGGAACAATTTAATAACCATTTGACAGACTCAAAACTTCACCTCACAATTGAATAAATTTTCCCATTTTTCCTCTTCATATTCTTCGATATGTGCCAATGCTGCATCAGTGCACTCGTTCTGTTTGCCGAATGTGAAATTTATCATTTCCGGGATAAGAAAGATGCAATGCACGCAGGAATCTGGTGTGATGTATGGCTTAACAAACCGAGAATAGATGAAAGAAGCAGAACCAGAATAAGGCAGAGCAAGCAGGAGATATGCTAATCCTTTTACGTGAGGCCAATAGTAAATCCTGTGGGTAACAGAAATACAGGATACCATATGAGAAGTAAGATATATGGTACCAAATGCCAATCAACTGATGAAGATAACAGCCAAGAACCCTTTTGCAATTAGAAAACTCAATTGTATACTATTCTATATTTTTAAAAAGGAAAAAAAGAAAAAAGAAAGACCAATTTAAAGCCTTAATCCATATTCATGAGCAAGTAACCCCATTTAGCCGCACGGGTAGCTCAGTTGGTTCTTGGGTGGTAGATTGTGGACAGCAGCTGGTCCTCCCACTTAATGGACCATGGTTGAGTAACCATGATTTACCCTCCATTATCCTGTGGGGTCGGGGTGTTGGGGTGAAGGAATTTCGCTTTTTGTGGGCAAGTAACCCCATTACTAGAGAAAGTGGCTCCATCAAAATATCCCACCTAAGAATGTGGGAGAGTGTGCTAAAACTAAACAAATGCCTCCAAATCTTAAAAGAAAATTGATATATTCTCCTACTAAAATCACTCATTAATATTCCCTCCTTGGCATTTTAATAAGGCCTTGGCTTATCAAAGGAAAACTTTCTATTTTATTGCCACTAAGTTGCACCTAATAATCATAAAAAAAAAAAAAAAAAAAAATTAAAAAAAATACAAATTTACCATAGTACAAATTCTGCAAAAGTCCATTCCAGGAGAGTGATTATAGCAAACAAGACCCAACATTTAAGGCAGTGCTGGTAGCAGGATTCCTTATCACTCTCTATAGCCCTTATTGAAGTATACCTGTTTCAACCCCCAATTAACCAAAAACACAAAATTAAAGATAAAAATAACCACAATTTCGCATTTTTCATCAAATTGCAAAGAAACACAGCAAATAACTCTCAAGCAGCTTCTTAGAACTTACAAAGGGCACACCACAGTCACTGAAGGCCTGCAAATTTTCAAAAGGTAACAGTCTCAACTCCCTATATTGAAAGCAACAGCTTGCATTCCAAATTCCCATTTTTTTTCAAAACACAAAATTCAAAAGTGATCTCTCAATAAAAAATTAAGCAAAACCCTGAAACTTGAAACATGAAAAGAGAAAATGAATAAACAAATTACCAGGAGAGAACGTGGAAAACGAATCTTGTTGCTTGGAGGAGGAGACTGTCCAACCCCATTTTTTACTTGTTTTTGCTACTCCTTTCTTAGTACATACTTGTGTTTTATCCAAACTTTGATTTGAGTGATATAAATATAGTATACATATTTGAGTTTATGGAATCTACATTCGTTGATCGAGATGGAAGAGTCGAGGAAAATTGAAAAACGAAAAACAAAGGAAAATGAGAAGACTTTCAGACAAAGTGGGAAAAGTCGCAGAAAGTGATCAAAGATATTTCACACCATTTTTATTTTTTACACCGTTAGACTTTCCAACTTAACAATTATTAGTAGTCTTTTTTTGGAACACAATTATTAGTAATCTATTTGTTTGTTTCATGAGTATAGTCATCAGCAGGCCAACACTATCGTATGTTCAATTAATAATGTATGGTATGGTATGTTTGAACACTATCGTATAGTAGAATAATAATAATTTTATAAATGTGAGTCACAAATAAACTACTTAAATACCAAGTTCCAATCAGAGATTTTTCTAGACATGTAAGGTCATTCTACGAAGATTGATTCTCACTTACATGATATGAACAAAATATTAATTGATAATATAATGGGATAATAATAAAGAAGACGAAAATTTTACGTGGAAAATTCCAATAGACCACAGGCAAAGAAAAATGTATTTTCACTATAAGGAGTACATTACAATCTCTTTCTATGTAGTAAAGAGGAAACTATAGAGTTTTTCTCTTGTTAGGAAAATAATAGCTATAAGAGGGGATGTTTGATTGATTTTGAGATTTATGGTCCAATCTTGTAAAATAACCTAAAGTTTATGGAATAAAATGAAAATTTTCTATCCACTTTAATAATTTATCTATAAAATATAGGAATAAGGTCAAATAGGCCATCTAATTACACACCAAATTGCAATTAGGGCACTGAATTAAAAAAAAAAAAAAACCTACAATTAGGTCTCTAAACAATATAAATTCATGCAATTTAACCTAAAATGACTTGTTTATCTATTAATATGATGACGTGTCGGTTACTGTATGTAAAAATAATTTTTAATTTTAATAATTTTAAATAAAATAATTATTTAGATTTTTTTTTTAAACCAACATGGCCAGAGACGAATGGGTCCCCTTTCGACTTCGTCTTCGGCTAGTCATGGAGATGAAGGGGACTCCGGCCAGCTATGGAGACGAAGGGGACCGCTTAGTCACAAGCCATGAAAACTGTCCCCTTCGTCTCCATGACGACTAGAGACCCTTTATCACCATGGCGACTAGAGACGAAGGGGACCCTTCGTTTCCATGGCTGGCCGGTCGGAAACGAAGGGGACCCTTTGTCTCCATGGTTGGCTGCCTGGAGACTAAGGGTCCCATTCGTCTCCGGCTGACCATGGAGACGAAGGATCCCCTTCGTCTCGGGGAAGCCTGGAAGTTATTTTATTATTATTATTATTATTATTATTATTATTATATTTAAAATTATTAAAATAAATTTTTATTTTTATTTTTTAAATAAAAGAACCGACACGTCAGCATATTAACAGGTAAATAAGTCATTTTAGGCTAAATTGTATGAATTTGCCTTGTTCAAGGACCCAATTGTAAATTTTTTGAGTTTAGTGACCTAATTGCAGTATGGTGTGTAGTTGGGTGACCTATTTGACCCTTATTCCTAAAATATATTTTCCTTTCCATAATTTGCCCCAACTCCCCATTAGTTGTCTTCAAGCTTATGTAATATATTCCCCAAAGTTATTTTTTTAAGATAAATATTCCCCAAAGTTATAACAATCCATTGTGAAAAAATGAGGTATAATTGTCTTCCATGCCATTTTTTACCATGGTAACATCCAAATAAAGTTTTATGGTCTTCATAAAAGTTGTAGCCTTTGAGTTATCTTTCCACTGGTTCAGGAATCACTTGATTTGGACATTCCTGTACCGATATATGATTAAAATACTGCACCATCAATAAATTGGGCGAGAAATACAGTTTCATGCCATTTTGCTCTAATTCATCCTTCCTTAATTATATTTTCATAATTTTGATTGGGCTGGTTATATATGTTGGATCTCTATATATATTTTGAGCCTTCACTGAACATTTAATGGAAATATACTGACAAATCACTCTGACCCGACTGTCCAGGCCCAAATATTCAGGCCCTAGCGTCTCACCCAACACTGTTTATTAAGTGTTATAAGCTACTGAGTTCATTTTTACGGAGTAATATTCTCAATCTCAGCCTATTGAAATTGATTTATGCTACTTCTGGTTAGGGGTTAAATTCTTGCTAACATTTTTTTTAGTCGAGTTGTGTCAGATCATGATCTTAACATATGAGTCTCATAACTCCCTGACATACATAAGAACATATAATAGAATCGTGAATGTTAAAAAAAAAAAATGTGAAATGCATCGTTTTTTGAATATGTGTTTCCATGTAGCTAGGTCTACTAAAGGACCTAGTACTAGTACGTCGAAATGGATATTCAACGAGGTTATAGATAATGAGAGTGTGGGGTAAGAAAATGAAACCGAACACGAGCCTGGATACAGCAAACCGTTTAACGCCGTTACCGGCAATGAAAAAGGAATTTTTTTAAAAAATTTGAAACGGTGTCATTTTGCAACCGCACATCATAATTTGCCCGATAACTCCACCTAAATCCTAAATAATATGTTTTTACCCTTTTTTATTTTTTCCATAGAGCATGAATAACTTGAAAGTAAAATTAATATTTCATTAAAAAAAAAAAAAAAAAAAAAAAAAACTCTCCATCGAGGAGCTCGTGTGTTCCACGCGCTTCAATAGGCGGTCATTTATTTCCTTGTGTAGTTATGTGCTGCCCCGTAAGTCCGTAACGTCGTCTCTCTCTCCGTGACTCCGTCTAGGGGTTTTCTTCTCTCTCTTCTCTAAAACCCTTTCTTCCATTTTTATTCACACAACTTTTCCACAGTGGCATGCAATTCTTTCCTTCAGATTACGTATAAAACAACTGGAATTCAATTCGCAATGTCAGAGAAATCAAAGGACCACAAAAAGTGCTATGTCAGTGACGAACAAATCTCCTCTCTTCTTCAGAGGTGATCCTTTTCTTTTTTATTTCCACTTTTAAATGTGATTTGTAGAAAAAGCACAAAAGAACGATTGTTTGAATTCTGATTCTTCTGGTAGCTGATGAAATTCTTGAATTTTGATTTAATTTCCCTATTTTTTTTTCGTGTGTTGGTTGGGGATTCTTGTAGATACACCCTTAAAACGGTGCTGGCATTGTTGGAAGAGGTTGATCAGGCGAAGGAAGTCAAGTATGATTGGAATGCGTTGGTGAAGAAGACCAAGACTGGGATTACGAATGCCAGGGAGTATCAAATGCTATGGCGTCATTTGGCTTACGGCCATGCATTTGTCGATGGATTGGTTGATGAAGCTCAACCTCTGGTCTGTAAATTCCTATATTTACTCCTATATTCCTTTTTTCAAAAATGATTATTTTTAAAACGTATTTATGGTTTTTACACGTCAAATTTTAGTGGAGTTTAGAGAAAATTCATCTTTTGTAATGATTGAAAAGCCTATGGCAATTGGCAAGGCAATGAGGAAAACTGCCAAGGGAGATATTATGGAACCTGTCTATAAAATGCTAACTTTATGTGTCAAAAGTGTTGTGGTGTTTTACATAACAGATTTTAGATCCCTATTGGATTTATTTATTTATTTTGCTGAAATTTTGATTTTTTTTTTTCCTTCTCTGGAGGGGTGGGGGTACAGAGTTACTTGATTAAGGTTTTGGTGGGATTACAGCCTTAAAATGTCTGGTATAACTTTGTGGAAAGCATGTATGTATAGGGGGTAATAGGGTGTCGTGAAAGTTACTAGGCTTGTTTGTCTGGATTTCCTCCAACATAATAATTGATTTACTTTTGTTTGTATCTGTATGTTGTGCATCCTTGACTGTGCCGTTTACTGTGATTTGATTAATTATGCACTTTATAAACAAAACAATTTCACATTTTCTGTGATATGCTATAGCATTGTGGACTAGAATTCACAGGGCATAAGTTGAATGCTAGCCTTTCGCCCTTTCCTTTCACGAGTCTTACTTTAAATGAGTAGTTGGAATATGTTCTAACACACTGATGCCTAGTGGTTGATTTGCTATGGCTGCTTTGCCTCTAAGTTTTTGTTGGCTTATAGTTTTGAAAATTTTGGGTGGCAGGATGATGCCAGTGATTTAGAATGTGAATTGGAAGCTTACCCAGCAGTAAATAGTGAAGCATCAGCAGAAGCATCAGCATTTGTGAAGGTGAAACAAATATGAATGCACCGAGTAATTTCATCCAGTAATTTTTTACCCTTTGTGGAAAAGCTGCATCAATCTTGTTTATGTTATTAAAGTTATTTTCAATATTATGAGCTTTTAAACCCACTATAGACAACTAATTGCTATGGATTTGATGATGGTTAAAAACAATTGTGAAGCTTCTGGAGAAACTGTTTATAAATTCCCTATTGTAGTCAGTCACTACAAACACCCTAGATTTGGTCTATTCTGAACATGTAGATAGTTAGTGTTCAATGAAATATTCATTCTGGATACACTGATCTTTCTAAATCTTTTGTTTTTGTACACAGAGATACTGCATTTTCTGCATTTACCATTTAGATTTCAGAATTCATAACTGGTGGAAATGTGGATACTGCCTTGTCTCTCTTAAATGAGAAATATTTTGGACATATGGTCTTTTTGAATCCTGAAATACTACTGAAGTTTTATGTCATTGTGGTAGTATGATGTACATAATGGTTGACCAAATTCTTTCCACACCCCCCCCCCCCCACCCCCCCCCCCCTCTCAAGATTGTCTGCATTCTTTGATAGTGCTAAACTGTCAACTAATTATTATTGTAAATTGACCTCATATTTCTTTTATTTTTTATTGGTTCACAAGTACTGAAGTATGTATATATCCTTTGTGGTGGGGTTTGTCTTCGTCTTGAATAGGTATTGGTTGGTTCTGGGACAGCAAACGATTCCCATACGTCAAATGGCATGACTGTTGAGGCTCCATTGACTATAAGTATACCCAATGGCCAAAGATCTATAAATTCTTCAGGAACTTCAGACCAAAGTATTTCAATGCAAGAATCAAAAGTTATAATTCCAGTTTTTGTGTCAAAAAAGCCTCTGGCCAATGCGATATCAACCAAAGGTTTAGATACCAATGGGCCATCAGATGCAAATTTGCCTCCACCACGCAAAAGAAAATTCTGGTCAGAAACAGAGGATATGGAACTTATTGCTGCCGTCAAAAAACGTGGTGAAGGAAATTGGGCAAGTATCTCGAAAGGAGAATTTAAGGGCGACAGAACAGCTTCACAGCTATCTAAGGTGCCTTTTTTTTATTTGCACCCAAATACTCTTTGTAGCTTTAAGATTATTTGAGAACCTTCTGAAAAGCATTTCTTCTTTGCACTAATCTTTCGTGTAAATAAGGAACTTTAGGGGCAAAAGAAGAAGAAAATGAAAAAGAGATACAACCAAAAAAAAAGAAGCAAATGAAAGTTTGTTGTACACATTTAATTGGGATAGATGTGGTTAGTTTTACACTTTTTGATTGCAATGGAAACAGTTCCCTGCTTCATTTTTAGCACTAGAAGAGAAGAACATATATATGATGTCCGTTGTTATCTACTATGGAAAAGATATTTGGGTTTTGCCCAAGTTTACCGGGTTCAAATCCCGGCAACGGAATGATATCATAAAGTGTATGTGTATGACTTGTTTGACCTAAGTGTTGTAAAAAGCAACAATAATAATTACTTCATATTACTGAGTTTTTTCTATTTTTTTCCACTTTGTAATTTACCCTGGTACAATTTCTGTAGAGGTGGGCCGTTCTTAGGAAGCAACAAGGTGCCTTGGTTGGGAACAATTCAGAACTCTCAGAAATGCATTTGGCTCATCGTGCAATGTCACTGGCTCTTGATGTGCCTATGGGGGATAATTCAAAAGCAGCTTCTTCAATCCGTAGCGGTAATTCTCTTGGCATTTTTTAATACGCCTGTAGTTGAGCAAGTAAATAGAGCTTTCTAGAAATAAGATTTCAAGTTTTGGACTTGAAAATGCAAGGAACCCCAGCATTTTCTTTTACTTAGGACTGGGTGGCACAGGTCTCACCAGTGGGTGTTTACTGTCCAAGGTATTGAGATCTATGATTCTCTATGTTTTTTGAGTCTGACCTAGATAAGGTGGCATCAGATTTTATTAAAAGTTTCATAGTATTTAATGCATATTTGACCTGGTTATTGAATGTGGTGTTTTACATTTTCTTTTTTTCCATGTGGTTATTGATTTTTTTTTTTTTTCCTCTTTTGGGAGCTGGGGGAGGGAGTAGATGGGTCTTTATTCCCTTTAACTGCAGTAGTGTTTTTTCCGAATTGTCTTCTTCCCATCTCTACTAGCTTTGACTAATCCACTTTGGTATACAGAGGGCACAAATGCAAATGCTGCATCTGGCAATCCTGCTAAACATCTTGCTTACGATACTTCCTCAGTTAACACAAAATCCCAGCATCAGGGTCAACAAGATTTTGCATCAAATGCAGCACCAAAGTTGGCAACACTGGGACCTTCAAAATTGCTGGTATCAGAAAAACCATCTACAAAGCCAAATATCAGCACAAATTTAATGGTCAAAGCAGCTGCAGTTGCTGCTGGGGCTCGCATTGCTTCCCCTTCAGATGCTGCATCACTTTTTAGGGCTGCACAGTCTACGAATGCTGTCCATATCAGTACTGGTGGAGGTCCTTTGATTAAATCATCATTTTCTGGCAACACGAATGCATTATCGAGTAATGTGCACCTCATTCGTACAAGTTTACCATCTAATTCAACATCCCTACTAAGCGGCTCACGAACTGAACCTAGGCCCGTGCAATGCCAATCTGTAAATCCTGCATCACCTGTGGTTCAATCTAATGTAGTTGGTATGGCCTCAGGACTAAATGCTTCAACCAAGGTTGTCTCAAATGGCACACACTCTAATCCAGTTGCTGAGTTTGGCATAAAAAATGTGAAGGAAAAAGCTGTTTCTAGTTTGGAAATTGTAACAGAAAAAGTTGTCCCCCAACAAAACCAAGCTACTTGCCCACATATAGCTTCTGAAGGAGATCAAATATCTGCTTCTACAAGAAATGCACTGGTGGAGAATGCCCAAGGGGATCAAATTGCTGTTCCAGGGAACTCATCAAGAGAGAAGATTGGAATGACTTGTGTTTCAGATGACCCAGTAAAGGAGAACGGCCAAAGGAATCATAAAGCTTCGTTCGAGGTACTGCTCCAAGATTAAATGCTGAAGGCAAGCAAATCAACTGCTCATCTAGGGTGCAGAAAGCTACAATTGCCATTCCCCTCAATAATGGCAATGACGCTGGAGCTGATTGCATAAATGAAATGAAAACAGTGTGACAGTATGAACAACCGGAGCTGCGCGAAAAGCAAATCAGAAATGGTGACCTGGAGGATCTGCGAAGTATGATTGTTGCTGTTGCTGATGAGACTCACCTAATCCTGATTTGGACTGAGAATGTGAGCAAATAAAGTTGTAGTTTTGGACCTAAATTGTACATATTCTCAACCCCCCCACCCCCACCCCCACCCCGACCGCCAACACACACAAAAACACCTTATCTTATTACTTTAGGTTTGTAAATGAAGTATAGTAAGGTATCTACAGTGTTCAGATACAGAATCTTTGATGTGTTTTCTTGTTAATGGTAAAATGTATGAAGATGGCTCACATGCATCTTATTGGTTCTTGCATGGCTTTAACTGCATATGTGAAGCTGTATAAATACAAAATCTTGAGAGTTGGATCACATTCTTTTAGCTCTTCGGGTGCCTTTAACTGCAAAAGACTATAAATCTTGCAGTTACTGTAATAATATCATATCCCATCAAATGAGGAAAATATTTCCACAGGGGAAGAACCCTCTTCTAGCGTTTCTCATAAATTTTGCAGCTGGTTAGTCTACACCACAGTAACTATAAAGAGGAAATTATCAGAGACTGCTATTTGGGGGGCATTGGTAATTGACCATACTGTCTCGGCAGTGATGGACTTACACATGAAAAGAGTGATGATCTCTGCCTCTGCTTCTTCAACTTCACTCCGAACAAGAAAGATCTCAAGGGAATCCTAGAATTAAAGTTTGTGCTCTCTCTTTTTACCCCAAATTCGTCCAGTTCTTGGATAGTCGTCTTAATCTCTTCTTGCAGCTTCTCTACACGCTTATCTCCAGCTTGTAATTCATTTGCTACCTTCTTGTTCTCACGTTTCATGTTAAGAATCTCACCTTGTAGTTTTGCAGCTTGACAGGCAAGCAGCTCTTTCTCTTCTTCTTTAGGGACTTCCTGAGAATACCTTGTTATCTCTTCTTGGAGGTTGCAAAGAGACGACAACCTGTTCTGTAAGTCATCTTTCAGCACTACACTATGTTCCAACCATAATGTTAACTCAGTCTGTATCTCTTTCAAGTGATTGTATATAGGGCGGATCTCTGAGAGTTGTTCCAGTGGTTTATTGTCCAGTTGCTGTTTGCTTGGTTTTTTCTTCTCCAGTTCGTCTTGTAAGTCTCTGACTGAACTTTGAAACTTCCCTATCTGATGGAAGGCGGTGCTAAACCGGAGCCAGAAATCCATGTTCTCTTCCACCAATTCATCAATGTCTGCGCGTATCTTTTCTTCAATGGTTGAAAAAGCATGATTTTCATCAACGCTGTTTGCCTTAAGATCTCCAAACTCTTCAATGCTGGACAGCTTCAAACTTACTCGAGATGTTGCTTCTTCTTTTGCAGGAGGATCTTCAGGGATTGGAACATCTAATAATTCAGAGAGAGTCCTTCTATGCGCATGCTTAGACTTTTTGTTTTCAACCTTATCCTCATGGTCAGCTTTACTTGTGTTTTCATCTGTAGCTTCAACGCCAGATTTAGTTGTGCTTTCGTTCGACTTTATAGTTTCCACATGATCCCCATGAAGCGGCTTTAGTTTTTTCCGCAAAGATTGGATCTCTGCATCCTTTAAGGCAATAGAATTTTTCAGTACTTTCATCTGAACTACATATTGGAAGTGGTTAGCCCTCCTTTTTTTCTCTGCTTCATTAAGCTTCCTCTTCGATTCCTTGTAATTTCTTAGGACCGAGATGTACTCCTCTAGCAGAAGCTTGTCTCTCTCATCCAAACCATTTAGAAATAGCGCTTTCCAGTTTGGCTCAACATCTTCTGTGCCAGATTCATCTTGCTCCCCGCGTGTACTTAAATCTTGAGGTATTCCTGCAATAGAATATGAGCCAGTACCAGTTAACGAGATTAAAATTTTTCCTTATTTCTTAGCTGGGTGCAGATTACCATGATCTTTATTGCCATCTTTTGTTTGTTTCTCTTCAACTGGTTCATCCCCTGAGATGGCCGAAGCGCTATGAGCAGTGGCTTTGGATTCACACGTTTGAAACCCCTTTGTTTGACCGGTGGATGGAACTGAAACACTTCCATCTTTCTTAAACTTGTTGTTTGTTGTCTCTTGGTCTCCTGAGACTGATGACCATCTATCAATATCTGTTACTTCTCTTTTATTTGGCTGCTCCTGTGTTTTGGAATCTGTTTTTTCACCTGAAGCATTTGCAGCTTTGTCAGAAGATGTATCTTTGACCCCTTCATCTGGCAACACACTTTGTAGTTTCCCGGAGAGGTCATCAACTCTGCCACTCGCTTCAGTAATGCGCTTATAAATGTAGTTGCTCTGGTTGTTGACGGTTTGATTGAGATTCTGAACTCCGTGAAGCTGTTCTTCGAGTTCTCTGATCTTCTTGCTCATCTTCTCTGAATCTTTGAGCAAAGTCTCCTTCTCCTCTTCCGTGGTTTGAAGATGAGCATGAAGTTCATTGGCCTCGGCTTTCAATTTGTTAACATGAGCATTCTGAGCCACCACTAAACCTTCCAAATTTACGATCTTATCTACAAGTGCATCAACATTTTCTGCAAGCCCAGACATGGTAAGATGAGTGCTTGTACTGAGTTGCATCTCTTCTTTAATCTTTTCGCTTAATGACTCCAAATCGCCCCTTCCTTCTGCAGGAATCTCCATTTGCTGATTCTCTGATTTGCTCGGCTCCTGATTTGGCTTCACGGGCGATTTCTCCCTGGCTGCAGCAGGCTGCGTATCCAGTTGACATTCCTCGAAATTTTCCACGGGCGATTTCTCCTTGGCTGCAGCAAGCGGTGTCTGTTGCCTATCCAGCTGAGATACCTCAAATTGTTCCACGAGAGACTGAAATCTGAGCTTTGCATTTTGCACCTTGCGATGCTCAGTCTTTGCGTCTTCATCTGCCTGTGTCTGTTGTTTTTGTAATTGATCCAGTGTCTGTTGGCAAGACTTGAGCGCGGTGGATGCCATCAGAGTTTGTGCTTCGTCATCCTCGATAAAAGTGCCTATCCCGAACTCATCCTGTAAGCTGCTAACTCTTGCCTGCAACTCCGTGACTTGGTTCTCGATATCCCAGTACTTTGCAAGCCCGTTTTCGTATGAACTTTTCACAAACTCCCTCTCGGTTTGCATTGCCAGGATCTGCTTCTGAAGCGCATCAATCTCCTGAAGCGCCTCGTCTTTGCTCAGCCCCGATGCTGCTGGACTGGCGCCAGCTTGATCACCCGGGCCATTGAACTTGAGAAGCCCCTTCTTAGACATTAACCTTGATGTCGTCTTCCCCTTCTTGGTGACCATCGAAACGACATCGGGAATGCTCATCTTCGGGGGAGCTGGCAAATCTTTCGGGGCGCTATTCCCTTTCTCTGGGCCTCCATTGCCTCCTCCTGCTGCTGCTGCTGCAAGGTAACTTTCACCATCTTCATAATCATCCATGTCTACCTGAACTCTCTCTGGGTAAATAGTGGCAATGCTTCTATTAGCACTCTGAAGCTCTTTTGAGATGTAATCAAATCTCTCTGCTAGAGCTTTGTAACTCTTGAAGAAATCTTCCACAAAGTTCAAAAGCTCAGGCCTGTTTCTGTAGTACATTTCTGCCCTTCTTGCAAAGGAGTCTCCATCATCATCCAGTATTCTGAATATGTAATGAACCTTCTCCTCTATATCTGCAACCACAAGGTAACATCACTGTTCTGTATGTCTCATATGTACTCGAAGATGATAGGTGTGAATATAAATATATTGGATGTTTTACCATCACAATTAATAAAATGACACTTTTGTTCCTGTGGACGTAGGCACATTGAGGAACCACGTAAATCTTGTCTTCTTTACTTTCTGCCATTGTTTTCGATTCTTGTTCTCGTTTATCTCAACAATCACAAACACTCTTTTGGGTACTTCTTACCTTTCTTTTCTTAAGTGGTTTTGAACAACACCCATCACAAAAGAAGGGCTTTGAAGTAGGTTTACAGGAAACAGTTCTCTCCTATGTGATGCTTGTAATTGCATCTGAGTGTGTAGTTCAATGAATGTTTATACCTAATTCCTGGGAATTTTACATAACGTAAGAAGTTGACGGGAATGAGATTCCCGTCGACTCAACACAAAAGGAACTATAAACCAAGTTTCAGAATCTCACATTCTCTAAAGAGGCCTCACGTTCTCACATTTCGTCAGTTACGTGATATAACTTGAACCAAATGCTACTTTGTCCTTAACTTATGTATGTATGGAGTGTAGTTTAGTGTGTGTAATACAATCAAAATATTTTCTCTCCATCCTTGAAGCAAAAATAGATTTAGGAATGAAACACAAGATCAATCAATAATGGGGAATGGAATAAACACAACAATTACCTTGTAAATTCTGCTGCAACCATTTTGACTGTTTTGTCCTTATATGGCTAGCAGCCCACCATGAATATGCATTTCTTGCTGCTCTATGCAACATTTTCTCCTCCTTCTCCCTTCAAACTTTCTGTAAAAGGTCATTACCTATCTGAACCTGGGATACATCTTGCCTTTTCTGTTGTATATCTAAAACATAAGAATTGAGAGCATTCATCCAATATTGCAGAGATCTGTAACTAAATACCTAAAAAAACAGAAAGAATAAAGGATTTGGTGTGATGAGAAAAAGTGGGGAAAAAAGAAAGATATGTTCAGTGTAATGCGCTTGATATTGGTCAGATTTTGGAAATAAGGTAGGATGTCTGGTTGGCCAATTGGCAAATCTTGAATCAGCCATATATGTATCAACAGATATTGAGGCTAGCTTGCATGTTCTTTTTTCAACACTATTATGGCTTGCCTGAATTTTAGCCTATATATTCTTTCATTTTATTTGATTTGGTCTCTAAGTTGTGCTGATATATATATATGCATGTGGGCTATTCATATTCAGTATCATAACTACTTTTAAATAATAATAATAATAAAGCTAATAAGATTATTTGATTAGAATATGACATTCTTTTCCATTTATCCTTGTGTATTTTTCAAATTTTTTTTTACAAGAGAAACCCGCAACCACGGTTCGAATGTGTGCACTGGGTAAACCTTATTCCTGTTTTTGTTTGAGTTTTGTTAAAGCTATACACATATTCTCACATGGGTAGCTTAATTGATACTCAAGTGGTAGATTGTGGACGCAAGATTAAGACTTATAATATGGGAGTTGCATCTAATGTGGTGGGCTTCTTGTGGGCACCTGTCATAGGTCCTCCCACCTAAGAAGTCACTCCATCATTGTGTTGAGCCAAGGCAAAAAATTTTGCCTTTTGTGGACAAAGCTATACACAAACCTTGGTTGTCCTTATATATAGTTTTAGTGAGGAAGTCCATATGATTCATTTGGTTGCACTTAATAAATGATATTAACCAATTACATACATTTTTCTTTGTTTTATTCTTCTCCATTAATAATGTATCCCTTTATAGGGGATAGGATTGCAATTTATCATGTTGGTTTGTCTCTCACATGATTGTGGATTCAAATGTTTAGATTCTACTTTCAAAAAAAAATTGTTTAGATTCTGCGTCGTGGTTAGGGGTGTAAACGAGCCGAGTTCAAGCTCGAGCTCGGCTCGATTATGAAATGAGCCAACTCGAGTTCAATTTGAATTTGAAGTTAACCAAGCTCGAGCCGATCTCTGATCGAGCGGCTCGACTATAATTATATATATATATATATATATATATATATATAGCTCGTGAGCGGCTCGACGAGTCACGAACTTAAAATATTTGAGCTCGAGCTCAGTTCGATTACGAAACGAGCCAGCTCACAAGCTGCTATGTTCGTTTACACTCCTAATCGTGGTCTCTTCGAAAAAAATGATTTTGTTGAATGACTATTTATGACATTTTTTTGACTAGGATTCATCTTGCATTGTGGATCTTAACCCAAAAATTATGTGTTTGCAGTTAACTGTTTATGTGTCCGGTAAATAAATTGAAAGCACATAACATGTTAACATATTACATGTAGTTAATATGTTATATGCCTTTAATTTATTTAAAGACACATAAACGGTTAACTGCAAAGTATAGAATTTGTAGACACATAATATGAAGGTTATTTTGAAACAACATAATCTGAAGATTATTTTGGAACACAGTCCACAATGCAAGATATACCCTCAGTCATGGTATAATTTGTCAGGTGCCTAGCGGAGTTTCGAGGCCTCCCATTCTTTGGATTAAAAATATATGCAAAATTATATATTCATTTGTCATTCATATTATACATTCTCAGGGAGTAATTGCCAGTTTTGACATCAGAATTCAGAACTGAATCAGTCATGTTTTATGATGAGCCATAATGATCCATTTACAACAATCAGGTCAAGTGATCTCTGCCTGACCATATTTACACACATCAAAAGCAATATTTGCATTTTTTAAGGATGTAACAACCAACCAAACAACAACACAACCATGTTTTTTGGCTGCCTTTATTGTTTCTTTTCTCCCATCTTCACTTTCTCTTCTCCTCCCTCTAGAAGATTTGCAAGCCCTTCGTTCAAGAACAGCGCGCCAGAGGCCATTTCTTCACACCATAATCCGGGGAACGAGACAGGAAGAACGCAGTTCACCTACTTGTTGCAAACGAACATGTTACATTTATGCGTTATCCTTTTCAACACAAACATTTAGGAAACATCATACCTTGATCCTCTGCTGTTTGGTCCCTGCGTAGCGTAGATAAATCCCACAGATAAAATGGTGTATATACATATATATATAGACACAAACATGGTTTTTGTCTCTCTTTTTTTTTCGTATAAATTATGATAAGTTTATAATTAGGTTTGCATACATCAAGTTTGTACCGAATGCTTGATATTGTCAGATATTCCGGAGGGAAGATAGCCATTGCTCCATATACTTCTTGTTCCCTACAAATTAAGGCGAGTTTATGAGAGCATGTTACATAGATTTTAGCATGGGAATCACATACAACTTCTGTATATAGTCTGTTATAAGTAGCTTGGAACCTTAGGGCAACCTCAATAGGAGTGGTTTTTTTGTGGTTTTTGAGGTGCCAATTAGGAGGGAGAGAGAAGGAAAAAGAGGAAAAATAAAAAACAAAAAGTAGGTCTGACGCAAAAAGGAAAAAAAACAAAAACAAAGCATTTAACGCGCCAGCCGGCACGTGCATTGCAAGCGCCCGGCTGGGCGCTGTATGTGTGCGAAACGCGCAGCAGTGCACCTCTCTTCTCCACTTTCTCTCTCCTGCGGGACCCACAAAAAACCAACCTCTTGCAGGCAGCTCCCAAATCTTCTCTCTCCTCCACATAAGCTATGTTCTCTTCAAAAACTGAGCAAAAACCACTATTGTGGTTGCTCTTAAAAACACCCTCGAAATGTTATTGTCAAAATGCCACCATGCCTTGTAACCCTAGCCGGCAAAGGACTACAAGGAGGTAAACCAGCCTAGGTTTTCCATAGCTGACCAGTTCAAACAAAGATGACCAGTAACCCGCAGCCACATTTCATAGTTTTGATATTGGCATTAGTTAACCGAATAGTAGTTTTTCAAGCATGATTTTTGCAAGTCATATGCAGGTATAGAGAAGGATATTAGCCGAACTATGCACATAAAGGAAAGATGAATTGAACAAAAACTGGATATTTAAAGGCATAAACTATAAAACAATTCCAGAAACACTCTTACCTGCTGCATATATATCTGTGATGTTTCCAATCGTCCCGAGAACCTTATCTTTTGAATCATCCTCGAAGCTCAAGCAACCGCGTCCATAGCAAGGAACCAGCACAGCGAAGCTATCATCCGAATCACCGTCACTATTGAACCCCGAGCCATGAGGCTCCACCCATCCAATCGACCAATCAGTGTCATCAGACTCGGAGCCTGATACACAACCACCATCCGATGGCACAAGAACAATGTCATGCTCTTTGTCAATCTTCCTCTCCTCCCGCCTTTCCCATTTGCGTTTAACCCCCCTCCTAGAACTGGAGGCTATGTTTTGCCCATGTTTCATCTTATCCACTTCCAACACCTCCATTTCGGGCAATGTATTTATGGAGGACCCTTTGGGAGCTTTTCTAAGTTCTCGATGTTTCCCACTCCGCAGCCACCATGAAAGCGGGGCGAATGCTTCAGCCATTCTATCTAAACCATAAGAATATTTGGATCCTAAATAGAACGCAGAATCTTATGTTAGGTATGCATACAGAAAACACGAGCATAAAGTATATATCTGCAGCCTGACACAGCACGGGTTCGATGGATAAATTTTGTTCTTGTTTTACAAAACTACTAACTAGAAAACATAACAACCAAATTGCACAGATAGTGTCAATGATAAGAATATAATGATAAAAGGGCCCTTTGGTCTATTAGATTTGGTTATAGCTTATAACATCCTCATGTAAAACATTCAAGAAAATCAATATAGAAGTTGTGCTGCAAAACCATTTACTATTATCAAATTCTTCATTTCCCCTCACTTTCTTAGTTTTTGTTTTTTTTTTTTTCAACAATCAGATGTTGAAGTTAAAGGTATATCCAGCTTGACCAAAACCCTACAAGAATAGGTCCAAATTTGTGGAGAAATACTCAATTTTGACCCAGAAAAATAGCCAAATATATCCCTTTCTCCTAAAAACAAGAAAATTTATCCCTCGACAGCAACAACCAAGTTGGTCAGGCTATTAGTTTAGTAATCATAAGATTTCAAGTTCGACTCCCAGCAGGAGCAACTTGTTGGCCGTCTTGGTTTGAGTCAGTCCACTTATGGACAATCTAGGCCGATTTAACTCCTTATGGTTCTTTGACAGGTTCACAAGATAGGATTTACCGCTCGAATAGTGCTTCGCGTTACTCAAACAGAAAATTTATCCCCCAAAGAAAAATGAATTATTAGAATATAATACAAGCAATAATAATATGGAAATTGCAATTATGAGAAGCCACCCAACAGAAGAGCCAGAAAGATTGAAGCTAAAATCTGAAATTCTGAGCTAACTTATCCTTTCTCCTAAAAAACAAGAAAATTTTACCCAAAACAAACGGATTAGAATGTAATACAAGCAATAATAATATGGAAAAAATGCAATTATGAAGCCACCCCAGCAAAAGAGGCAGAAGGGGTGAAGCTATAATCTGGAATTCTGAATCCTCCTAATTAAATCAAGAAAAAGAACAAGTATGTTTCCAGATACAAAAATCAAATGCGAAGATAAAAACTTTTAAACAATAAATTAGGCACATGCATATATGAAGGATTCTAGAATGAACCCAGAAAAGCCAATTTTGGGGACATTCCAAACTGGGCTTCCCTGTAAAGAATGATACAATACTACTTTGCTTCTGTATCAGACTTGGAATGTTTATCGAATATTCAGCTGCAATTCCCTTTTTCCATTTGATCCTTTGATAGAGAATTTAAAAGAGAAAAGATAGAGATCGCGTAAAAGACATATTTTTTGAGCTGTTCTTTTCTTCAACGTCGAATAACGTGTAATTTGCTTCCTTCTTCTGCGTTCGCAAGCAACCCAAAACAGGAAGGATGAGATTATGAGAATGTAAAATTACGTCCACTGAATCAAACAAAAATTTTCTGAGTCCCTCATCTCAGAGAAGGCGACCGGCGACAGTTCGATCGTCGCCGGCTGGATTGTCGCCGGAAATGATAAAATTAATGCCGGAAGACATGTAATAGCGCCTTATTTATCATTAAAGTAATGAGTTTTTTGCACTTTTAGTCCCACGATTACAGTGGCACTGGCAGAACTGATCCTTGACTTTTGAACCTTGCAATTTTAGTTCACGATTATTGATTTTTTTGCAAAAGTGGTCCTTCCGGTCACTTTTCCGTCAAAATTTCACCGGAAAAAAAAAATTCTCTATTTTTAGCCGGATTAAAATTGACATTTTACTTATCTCAAAAAATTAAAAGAAAAAAAATTGATATTTGACTACATACAATATTACTGGGCTACATACTACTGCCCCAGGCGGCGGAGTACATGTACCACTCCAATGCTGCTGCCGGATAACCCAACTAGCCCGGGGAACGCCACGGCCGCTTACTGACAGCCCTGCCGCCTGCTCCAGGAACTCCGCCGCCTGGGGCAGTAGTATGTAGCCCAGTAATATTGTATGTAGTCAAATATCAATTTTTTTCTTTTAATTTTTTGAGATAAGTAAAAAATCAATTTTAACCCGGCTAAAAATGGAGAATTTTTTTTTTCGGTGAAATTTTGACGGAAAAGTGGCCGGAAGGACCATTTTTGCAAAAAAATCAATAGTCGTGGACTAAAATTGCAAGGTTCAAAAGTCGTGGATCAATTCTGCCAGTGCCACTATAGTCGTGGGATTAAAAGTGCAAAAAACTCTTAAAGTAATTATAGAAATGGTCCATTGACTAATATCAAAATTATTAATTTGATCTTTAATTATTTCTTTTATCAATTAAGCCCTTTAATTTTAAATTTTTAACTAATTTGATCTTTCGTTTATTTTGCCGTTAGACATCTGTTAACTTGAAACTAAATTGATAATTTTACTATAGTCAAGTGATCATTTCGATCATCGCATATAAGCATGCACACGGTTCAAGGTTTTGGAATCAGAGTCTAGATGGTTTAGTTGGTGTCTAGGCGACTTAGTTAACACCTAAGAGGCTAGGTGATTCGCACTTAGACGGCCTAGGCAGCGCTTAGACGACCACCTAAACTTCGATTATAGTGATACAATCTACTAGTGCCTAGTGCCTAAACGCCGATTAATGTATGCCTACAGAATTTTTACGAGCAAATATCAATTTTAGTCCCACGAGTATTAGCAAAATGACGATTTTGATCCCATGTTTAATTCCTACCAATTTTCATCCACGACTATTGTTTTAGTACCAATTTTAATCCACAACTATTATTTTAGTATCAAAATTCATCACGTCGGTCACTCATCTATTTAAGACATCGCGAAATCTAAAATTGTTAAGGGAATTTTCGTCCTCTTCAACTTAAGATTTCAATTTGAGCATAAATAAATGAATTTAAGCCCTAAGATCAATCCCAATTCGCAGTTCTCCTCCTCATCCTACCTTAATTTTAGGAGAAAAATTGCGAATTGGGATATATTTTAGGGCTTAAATCCCTTTATTCATGCTCAAATAGGGATCCTAATTTGAAAAGTACGAAACTACCCTTAATAATTTTATATTTCGGCATGTCTTAAACGAAGGGGTGACCGGCATGATGAATTTTGACACTAAAACAATAGTTGTGGATGAAAATTAGCACTAAAATAATAGTCGTGGATAAAAATTAGTAGGAATTAAACATGTGGATCAAAACTGTCATTTTACTAATACTCGTGGGACCAAAATTGGTATTTGCTCGAATTTTTACAATACTTCTTTTTAGGTAAAAATTTAGAAGCATTAACTGTTAAAAAAAAAAAGAAAAAAGATCTAAATGGGATAGAACCGACCCGAAGATGAACCCGAACATAAATACAGAGAGAGAGTGTATTTCGCTCAATCGCACTCTCTTCAGTCTGGATTGTTTCAGCTCAGTGGCGCCGTCGATGGAGTCATTGTTAGTGAGCTCAACCTGTTCGACATTTTCCCCTATTCTATCTCCACACAAGCACGCCCTTACGGCGAAACCCTTCTTCGCCCGAGCTGCGCGCCTTCCGTTTCTCGCGCACGCCTCGCAGCACGTGAACGCGCCGCCAGCTTCCATGGCAAAAGAGAAGGAAGCGAAGCTGTGGGGGGGACGCTTCGAGGAGAGCGTGACGGACGCCGTGGAGAAGTTCACCGAGTCCATATCGTTCGACAAAGCTCTCTACAAGCATGATATCATGGGCAGCCGAGCCCACGCCTCTATGCTTGCATTCAAGGTCTGTATATTGCATTTTTCCAATCATTTAATTTTTTTAACACTTTCTTTTATTGAGTTAAAACTTTCGAACTTTCGCCTTTTTGTTGTTGTTGTTGTTGTTGTTGTTGTGCATGAACGGTTAATTACGGAGTAATTTTCTATATGTTACATCTATCTCAGAAATTCTCAATCAGCATTCCTTTTCCTTTTGGTTTGGGATCAGTAAGAATAATTTATTCATTGGAACTATGAACTTTTACATGTGAAAATGAGGGAAATAGTAAATTGTGAGCTGAAATTGAGTGGGGTGGTGGTGAGGCTCAGAAACGGAAAAGCAAAAATCTTGTGCTTAGCTCACTGGTTCAGCAGTATTTGGGAGAAGAGATCAAGGTTTGAACCTCGACAGCGGCAGTGTGGGACGGTGGGGATTATGCCCAAAGTGGGTCAAATCCCTTGTGCATGCGCACTGGCATTTGGCCCTGCCGAGCCATTGAGTCACTGTGATTTACATCATCCCAAATGCTTTGTCGGGCCCGTGTGTGGGCCCTTGGGGTTGGAGATTAACCTTTTTGGGAGAAGAAGGAAAAACAAAAATCTTGTTATTCATTTATTTATGGGAAAATTTATATCGTCGCACAAACTTAGCCCTGAGTTATATGTATAAATATTTTTAACCCCTAAATTATGCTAAAGTGTAATCCCTGAAGGATCAAATTAGCCACATTATTAAGTGATATATTGGTGTCATAAATAGTCTTGAGGGACTAAAATCGTCACTTCGTGACATATAACTCAGGATTAAATATGCACTACTGGTATAACTGAAGGACAAAAAATGCAATTTTCTCTTTATTTATTTATTTTTTAACATGGGATGGAATGGGGGTGGGAGAGGACAAATCTACAATTTTATGATCTTATCAAGGTAGAGGATTACAAACTTCATGCAGTCTAAGCTTTGCTTTTGAGGAATACAATTCAAAGAAATGAAAAGCTGGGAGGCTTAATGTGCCACTAACCTTAATGAAAAAAAAAGGAAAATGAAACATATGTTCTCAAAACTTCAAGTTTGATTTCACATAAACTAGTGGCAAAATTTGAAAATCCTGACCTGCTAAGAATTTTGTGCCACTTGAAAGTTTCAATTCATGGTGGAATTAATATTTAATGTGGTTCTTGTTCATATCTTCAATCCAATGTATTTTTATTTTTTATTTTTTATTTTTAAAATTTCAGTAACATAGTTTGGGCCTTAAATTTCATGTTAAATTCATTTATATTCTTCTTTCAGTTCCAATGATGAAAAAAAATCTGCAGTATGAATGTGGGTTCCAAATCCCTATTTTGCACAAACATAAAGAGGACCGAATTTAGTTCATGAATTCTATTTCCTTAACAAGTGGAATGTGACAGAGTAGTATTCAAATGTGCACAATTGTTTTGGTGTATCGTAGGGATTGATTAGCGAAAATGACAGGGATACAATTCTACAAGGTCTAGATGAGATAGAAAGGCAAATTGAAGCAGGCAAGTTCTTGTGGAGGACTGACAGAGAGGATGTGCACATGAACATTGAAGCAGCTCTTACTGATTTAGTGGGTGAATCTGCAAAGAAGCTTCATACTGCTAGGAGTCGAAATGATCAAGTTGCAACTGACTTCCGTTTATGGTGCCGTGATGCTATTGACAGAATTATTTCACGCATAAAAAATCTTCAGGTCATATGCTTTTCCACTATGGTGTTAGGTTATAGTTATTCTAAAGATTTTCTCGGGATTTTTCCCCTACTGACCATATGAAAAGAATTTTCTTAGGATTTCCTATCAGAGAAATGAGTAATCTTGTCAGCAAATAGGCTGGAATTTTGCATAACCCTAGTGCGAGACTGAAGGTGCCTAATCTAATGTTGTGAATTGGACCTCACTCATGATTAAACTTGCTATATATACAGGTTGCTTTGATTAAACTTGCTATAAAAAATGAGGGTCTGATCGTTCCTGGATATACCCATTTGCAAAGAGCACAACCAGTTCTGCTGCAACATCTTCTCTTAGCATATGTTGAGCAGGTATGAAATGAGATTTATTAATAGGTTAGTAGTGACAGTAGTCAGTTGCTTCTGAAGAATAAAGAATTTCTGCTGACGTTTATCTAATTCTCATGTTTATTATACAAGTTTCGCTTTTATTTGCTCATGCCATATTTAACATATCTTTAATTTAGAAATTTGAGATTTACCTCTATGAAGGAGGATATTTGGTCTTATATTAGCAATTCTTTACTGCTAGTTATATTTTTTATACAGTGTACAAAGTATTTTTATCCTTTATTGAATGACATGCACCTTATATATAAGGACTTTAATACTTGAGGTTGGCCTATTTGCACGTTTTCACTACTTTCAATTATTTTTGCTTTCTTTTTGTACTGTTAGTGTATTGTCATCATCTATGCTTCTCTAATCGACTTGGCTGCTAAAGTTCTTCAACTCATTTTTAAATCAATGAAGCAATGATTTCTTGTAGCTTGAACGTGATGCTGGCCGCTTAGCAGATTGTAGAGAGAGGCTGAACTTCTGTCCTCTAGGAGCTTGTGCTTTAGCTGGTACTGGTCTTCCCATTGATCGATTTATGACTTCTGATGCATTGGGATTCACTGCACCCATGAGGAACAGGTATCCTACTGTATCTTCTTAGAACAATATCATTATCTTTCTAAAGATTTTTCCTTTTCCACCTAGACAACAGTGAACTCTGATGCATTCTTAATTTGGGCATTTCTCCGTGAAGTTTTTACTTGCCATGCA